TACGATACAAAATTATGTTTTATCCAGATCTGCTTCAAAATGTATTTAAAAAATACAATCTACAATTATTCGGAACGAGTTGGTACCTCAGTAACAACAGATCCAACAAAATAGAATAGTATTCGTCTTGACGTTTCAAACGCAGGTGCGTTTGAACCTATTAATAGTTTAGTTTGAATAAATTATTTGTACTTTTTTAAAAATAATATAATGCGTAAACTATATTATAAGTCTTCTATGCGTTTTCCTAAACATCTAATTTTAATTATGTTTCCAACAGAGCAACAACCAGCTTCGCCGCTACGAGTCTCTATGCGCCCAAGCTCGCGCAGTGTCCAGCACGGCTGATTTAGCGCACTTGGCAAGAACCCTGCTTACTGCCACGCCTCCCATGCGACCACCGAAGAGGGCATTCCTACCACCATACCCACCAGACGCTGACGACCCACCCCTGGATGTTCCCGCGGTAATATTTGAATAAATAAAGAAGGGAAATGACGAGGGTAGAGGTTCCTGTCAAAAATGAAATAGATCACGCAGTTCTGCAAATTATTTCGTTGTAGCTATAATTTACTGCTTGCCCCAATTTGGACGCAGGTATAATGTAGGTAATATTATCTTTTGTTTTATCACACTAATGAATATTGGCATTATATTTTTAATGTAATTAGTAGGTAAAATACTGGGAAAATGTGCTTACTGAGATGATATAGTTTCTTCGCTTAGGGAAGAGTAGGTAATATACTAAAAGTTCTTTTTCGTGCAGATACTTTTCATTGTGGTTTTCAAGAATTAGGAACACTCATTATTATTATGGCAATAAGCATTAATACAACGGCATACAGCTAGGACATTATAACTTTCCATGACTTAAATAGTTTCCTTACCCTATAAAGGCCAGAACTCGCAATAACAAGTTTCATTATTTATTTATCGTTTCGACTAACCCAAAGCCGCCATGGAGAGGGATTACTTCAAATTGCTTAGGGGATTAAACGTACAACTTCGAAACGGACGCAATTAAATTATTATCCCATCTTTATTTTGAAAGCAGAAATTGATATTGAGCCAAAGATTTTGGCGTTACTTGTGATTTAAATAAAGTAATTCGAATAGGAAGAAAGGAGATAATCAAATACGTCATTTTTAATGTAGGAATGGATAAAGACAGACATAATACTTACTTTAGTCAGTACAGTCCTCAGAACGGGTCCACTTAAACTAGTGTGGGTCTTTCCTCAAAAGACCACTACAGAATGAACTTGCACGGTTCTCTCACATTATGTTATTTTACATTGTCTGGACTTGAAAAGAGACTGACCTCTGAGTTTGTTTCGGCATTTCTTCTCAGAGTAGTGAGTTAGGAAATGCCGGCTTCATCTAATTTTTCACATTTAATTTGACGTGTAAAAGTGCCTTTTTATGGCCTATTTGTAAAAATAAATTCATTGTTTCATAGATAATACTTACTGGACTCTAAAACAATATATCGGTAGATCTGTATTTGTTGTAAGAATTAGAAATGGAACTTCCAGTAATATTTGTAATAGATTTGAAATAAGTTTTTATCTACTTAGTCTAGGTATACTGTCTGCATCTGCTTCTAATTTACATTTTTTTAATCATTTAAAAACTTGCCGTACCTACTACTTGTTGTCTACTAGGTACTACAAAAACTAGGCCCAACAAATAATGTACATTTTGTGTACCAACTTAGATACACTGCGTTATCTAGCCAGTTTACCAGTTTTATACCGGCAAGGTAAATATACCTATAGTAATTTTACTGTTCAATCTTGTTTGGAGAGCGACGTGTGTAGATTAATGAGGTCATTTCCTTATAAGAACTTACCCGAGCGGCATCCCTAAGGTCTTCCTAACTATACTAAAAATACGCTTATTTGTTATATGTTTTTGTAAATTAACGTAACAAGGAACAAATTAATCGTTATTTAATGCTTTCTTCGAAGATGATTGGAATTTCTATAATTGTAACTGTGATTAATGCTGATGATATTGCTTCGTTATTCCAATAATCACAAGATTGTCTCAGGTTTTATTTGGAATTTGAACGCCTATTTATTATTAATATAGGTATGCAATGACAGCGAAGAACTTGCCCGGTACATATTAGATTCGACAATAAAATAGTTTAACCCAATTAAATAAGCGAATCTATTAATAGGTTCCGTCAAACTCCATCATAAAAGAAAATTGAGACTTCGATCATTTTCAATAAGAATATATTACACAGGTTCACTTAATATACATTACATCGTCTTGCACTAATCTGGATAAGCTTCCGATCCTAATGGCAGACATTGACGTACCTGTAGCAATCTATAGTTAATTAAAAGGAAGTCTGCAGGCAATAGGATACAGGTAATTAACGCAGATTACCGGATACAGTAGTTGCTCACATCACAGAGCTTATCTTAAATAGAAGCGCATACTATACTATATGTACAGCAAGACATTAGACAGCGAGCAATGGTAGTTCTCCGCCCACACACGTTTCGCGTGTGCGTAAAGCCAGCCGAAGTTGTGTGAAACCGCAATGATTTGCAGCAGCTCAGGTTGAAACAGGAGAAGCAACGAGGAGGTTTTAGTCATTAAAAGTTGTCCTCTCGCCCCATCCAGAGCGGGAGAAGTCATTGAAGTTCTTGCCAATCTCAAAAAGATGTGTCAGTACGATTCTATTTTGCGGGGTTATACAAACATACTGAAATATTTTGTTTAATAGAGCGAATTATAATGCTTCTTCTGTTTGCTCCTAATACTACATAACTCTCACTCCTAATACATTATACCAAGTGTGACTTAGAATTAACAATTGACCTCAAAGATCCCGACCAATAGTTACACCATCTAGTTTAGGATTAAATGTATTGATTAGAATTTTAGAAGTAATAAAATGTCGATAATTAATGCGCTCTCTAGGATTTGGTGCTTGGACGGATTACTACAATCGCCGTTTAAGCGTGGCGGCTGTGGTTGAAATCATACAATTTTGAATAACAAAAGTTACAAGTTAAGTAACAATCACACTTAATATTAAGGAAAACTCCAGTAATAAATAGAATTAAACCAACACTAATATCGACAGTCAAACAGACAGACAGGTATCTAAAGATAAAACTCACAAAATAAAACATTTATGACACAGTCTCGGTATCTACAGATAAATAATCTAACAACTGGCTTTTGCAATGCATACTAAATAGCTCTTAGTGTTCTTAAACAGTTTAGTAAAATACAATGTTATAATTTTATAACTAGACGTAAACTTCACTTGTTTTATTGCAGCACCTTTTATAGCAGAATTTGACATAAAATCTGAAGGTACCATTAAAACGATTGTTCGTTCCACTCTGCTTATGAAAGGGATAATCTTTGTAAAGCTTAAAATACAATTGCTGATATACTTACTTTTATTTTATTACTCTAGGTACTAGCGGTAGACTGACGTTTCGTTCATGATTTCGTCTACATGATATTTGTTTACGACCTTTGTGAAACTTTGTGTCTATCCGCTTATAAAATACAGTAAAAGAAAATAATTTTAGATAGTATGTTGGTGACAAAATATAATATGATTTGATAAGTACAATACTGTCTCTGTATGGACTTAATCGTTATTTTCTTATCTACATAAGTACCAAATTCTTTTGCATATTCTATTCATGATAAGCTTACGAAGTAATTTTCGCAAACTTTCACTGTATGTTACAACTTATACATTCATGATTTCAAGAAAACTTCACACTTCAGATTTTTCATCAGATAAAATGTTTTTGTCTCAACGCATACTTTTCTTGCAAGTATAAAAAAGCGGTTAGGAAACTATTACACTTTATTAGGACTAGGCTCCATTATTGTTTTAATTAACCAAATACGGCGTGATTAAAAGCATAATTGTACAGTTTTAATATCAAAACACCACTATATTCCCTTATTAAATAAGACCTATAATTTATTTAAAATTAAATATATACCTATAAGGATAATTATTAATCGCCGCAGTGTTCAGTTGTCTTTTGTTACGATAACTGATTAATGTTATCAATCTGTAGACAAAATAATTGTAAGTACTTTTTAGTACCCCTCACTTTACCTACCCGATCGAAGGGGAAATGTTAGAAAAGGGGGGTATGCATATGATAGTAGATTTTTGTTGCAAAGTTAAAGTACCTAGATATTTAGAGTACCACTAGATTTTTTGCAAAATTGCAAATCTGCCTGGATTACTTTTAATGTCAATATGGCAAATGTGGCAATATGTCAAACAACGCGATTTACGACGGCACGATTGGCGCGGTATGACTTGATAACTGGCTACCGCGCAACGTGTCGCGGGTTCGATGCCTGCACGAAACAACTCTATTTTTGATCCACAATTTGTTGTTCCGGGTCTGGTTGTGGTGCTTACACACACGACCCAGGAGAAATCCTAGTGAGGGGAAAGCCAAACAAGCACCCTAATATAGGTATATACTTTTACAAATATGCTTTATCGAAGTATATAAAAATACACGGGTATGCCACACAAAGCATTAAAGACACATAATATTAAGTTTTTAATTTATTTATAATAGGTACGTAGTCGGCATAGCTACGACTACTAGCTACTTGTCCTGTTTAGCGAACAAGTTGTGTTAGAGAGTTTTTAACTTATCACAACAAAATATAAATGGAATGCCAAAACAATGATCTTACTACAGTAAAAATATCATATTGATCTTACTATCTATTTACATTACAAGGATACTTAACATACATTATTTAGTATAATCATTGGGTTTAAGTATATTATATCTGGTACTATCTAGGTACCTATCTAGGTAAACGCACCCACGACACAGGAGAAAATGCAAATGTGGGACAGCATTTATTCAAAAAAATCCAACCTCTATTTCCTTTCTAGATCAAATAAAATTTCCTTATTTAGGTACTCTATTTTCAAAATAATTGCTAATATTTGCTTAATCTTTTCAACAGGAAAGCATGCCTCCTATTTTGCGTGGAGAAATACTTCTGGACCGGATGGGCGCACAAGCGCGCGTTAACTACGAACAACTGAAAAAAGATGCAATGGACTTAGAACTGCAAATTAAACAACTACAAGTAAATAATTTATATGTATTTTACTAATTTAAAACTAGTCTGATATTATAAGCAATGCTCTTAGCAATAAACAAACAAATATAGAAACATTTCAAACTAGTTCGTTAAGGAGCTAATGAAGTACTTTTCAGAGACAATAATTCTAGTACCAAACTCAACCATACGTGGTGTATTTTAAATAACTAAAATTCAAATCAAATCAAATTTATTTATTTTGCGAATATGGGTTCATACATGTAGATCTTATTTTATTTTACAAAAGGCGCGTTGACTATATCCTACCAACATGAGGCTTGCAAAAGTTGAAATAAAAAAAATTCAATGCCATACTTTAATATATCAAATTCTTTTCACAGGAAAGCCTGGATCAACTGGGTCGACATCAAAGCAGGGGTATCGAGAGTAATCTTTACAACAAAGTAAACGAAATACAGGTAAGTTTAACTTTATTCAAATATAGACCATAAAAATGCCTAGTTCAGTAAAAAATGCTTTTGCCTAATTCGTTTACACATGTAAACAAAAAACAAAACCCTAGTGAAACATTAGGTGTAATATTTTTTTCAACTATACCTTATTTATCTATCAAAGTCTAATACAGTATAAAGGAAACACGGAAATATCAATTCGTGTATAAAGCTAAATCGTAAAGATTTTTGGAGCGAAAACAAAATCGGCCTGATTTCAACATCATTAAAATTTTACGCTTAGCCTGGTATTGAAGGATAAAGCACAATGGATACACAAGTGGATAAACTTTGCCAGTTGTTATTTACACTTATATGCCTAGTTAATTAGCAGTTAAATCTATGTATGTAGGTAAGTAAGTAAATAGGTACTTTTACGATTTAATATTTCCATGAGACTAAACTTACCTACCTACTCGCCTATTTATTTAGGTTCACCGTCACACGCATTGTATAGAAATATCTTATTTTTTAATTTAGAATAAAAGAAAATAATTCTTTTGGATTGGACTTTAAAATATTTTACTCAAAAATTAACCTAGCCCTGTAGCGCCATCTTTTGCTAGTCTTCATAATAATACTAAAAGCCTTCTAGAGCCATCTTTGGCGCATTACACGAACTAAACAGAGGTCTGATATCAGCCAACGCAACGGAAAACGATGTAAGTTACAAGGTGTCTATCGACTTGAATGCGCCATCGGTAGATGCCGTTTTTATTCAGTCTACCAACGACGCTAGCGTAAAGAGGTTGTAAATAAATCGCGGCATATCAGGCTGGATACGAGTATAGAAAAAAGAAGAAAACTAATATTTGAAATGTGATTGCCTTTTGTTTACTTAAAGTTTTGTTACACAAAAAGTGCTTTATTGTTTTTCTTTTATTTATTTATTTTCGTTACTTTTAATATCAACGTTATCTATTTTGTTTTTGCTTAGGGACATTATTTTTGTTAAGCGCTAAAATGCCTTTGTTTATTACAACAGGAAGATATATCTGTAAAGAAATACGACTACAGAGCAACACAACTGCATCTAGCCGCTGTCAGAGCTCAGGTGAGTGTCACATATCTATACCTACTTACAATGTATCCCTATTTTGTTTAATTGGCTACCTACTGCATTAACCTGTAGTACCTACCTATGGTTGGATTTGAAATATTTTTGAAAATTGTTTGGACCTTCAGAGGTTGATTGATACCAAAATACATTTTCGAGAACTAAGTATTCATTCAAGCAAAAATTAAACATCATCAGAATATATATCATCTTAAAGTTAATAATCGGTCAATCAAAATTTATTTTTAGTTTTTACCAATTTGAGAAAAGTATAGGTTTTTTTCATACCTAGCTACGTACCTGCATGGTTAGGTACCCTAGATAGATACCTGATAAATTGCTGAGTAGGTAAATAGAAATAGTTACCCACTTACATTTTCTTTCTTTGGCACTTATGATGATAATACATGCTACTTACTTGTCGTCTAAATTCAACTTTCATTTCTAAATTCAATTCTAAGTTTGTATGTTTTAAACTTAGAACACATCATAAGTTTGATAAAAAATACCTGCAATTATTGTTAAATACCTTTCATTTTACGTAAATTCATGTTAAAATTACTGAGATTCAATTTCGCGTTACCTACTACAAAATATATTTGAGCATCCTTGAACGACAAAGTGTTCACCATTCAAGTTAAAAGACAACGATTTACTTTCTAGGACAACCCTTAAAGGGAACTTGAGCCATTCATAAACTCTAGTTTCTAGTGCGCACGCCTAGCTCTAGGGACATGCGAAAAGACGTTCGCAATTCAAAATCAATAGATTCAAAAGTTCCCGCGATTTTAATAAAACAAATAAAACGGACTAAAAATCACGTAACATAAAATCGGTATTTTTTTAAATTCTTATCTGTTGTATAATTATAGTTATTAATTTAAAGTTAAATAAGCGTGTAACTTTAGTAGGTATTTCTTTCCGGGAGAATTGGAATAATTAACATTTTTTTATTTATTTCTAAAAATTCAAGATATTGTGTTTTTGTTTGGTTTCTCTGCATACGAGAACACTTTGTTAAAGCTTAATGTTTTGTAGACAGCCGCGTTGCCGCATTGCGCACAGCCTCCCACTCAGTCCGAGAGCAGATCTCGCAGACTGTCATAACCTCTCAATTCGCGGCACACAAAGCTTAAGCTTTCACAACAAAATTGCGTGTAAATCGCTATATTAGACATTAATTGTGACTGTGGTGTATTATAAATCGTTAATCACGGATAATCCCAAACGTAAACTGAAGTTCCGTGCGAAGATGGGGTGGATTTCCATGAAAAATCATATGGTAAGTAATTAAGTGTGTTATTACTTAATGGTACAAGTGATTTATTAGTAAATTACTTAAAGATTTTGGTAAATTCTTCAAAATTCCCAAAATGTTTTATTAAGGTCATATTTTAAAACGGTGCCACGTTGAAACATATCTTTTCAAAAGATGTTGCTTCGCTCAGCTTTTGAACACTATTGACATTTCGTACCCCCGTTCTAAGATGTTTTGTTTAGGTGTGCATAAAGTAACAGCAATGAAAACTTTGAGCAACCTTAATGAAAAATGCGGTAAATGGAGTAAAATATTTTGAATAGAATTGATAAAGGAAGGTAGATCTATTTCACTTCTATTTTAGACTAGGTACATTGAAATGAAATAGTGAGTATTCTGGCTTTAAAAAAGAAGTAGGTACCTGCCGAAGATTATTTTTTTAAATTCAATATAAAAGTACTCGAGGTAGAAACGTTTTCATTATTTTATTATTATGATAAATAAATTATCTAAATAAACAAAAAAATATACTTACACCTGAAATACACGACTGCTCGTTTAGCCCTAAAGCTGTGCAACCGGCTGCACCGTAACGTGTCACAATACATGTGCCATTCCCGCACAATCCAAAATCCTTGTGTAAGGTATTCACAAAGTTAAATTAATCATGGTTGGATGTGCATGCTAATTCGGCTTTTGTAAACATACCGATGACATGGCGAAAGTAATAGTGTAAAAAAGTTAAATGTAATCTTTAATCCAGACCGTGCAATAAAGTCCATTGCTTATTAAATTTTACACATGTAAGTCGTAATGTTTAAACTTTATATAATTATAAATAAACGAATTAATAAATTACTTATTACTTTTTTATCAGAATAATTATTTTATGACTAGTAAACCATACATAATTTACTATTCCGGGCATTCGTGCAGTAGTCCTGACATTCGTAATAATAATAAAAAACTGTTACTGTCGTTATTTTTTTTCCGCAGACGTTATACCTAACATTTTTTATAGAGTTACATTTATTTCCAAATAAAATCACAGATTTTATACTTCTATTCTATTTGTATTTCCGAACGCGCCCATAGTTTTCCCGCGCGGAGATGCTACGCCTCTAGCGGATAATTTTGGAACTGCTCTGCGTCATGAACGCTCGAAATCGTGCGTGTCGTGTTTGTATTCGTGGATAATATTTATTTATTTTTGAGTTTGGTGACCAACACAGTGTGTGAATTCCTGGTGAATAATAATGAAAGTTTATAAAGGTAAGATTTATTTCTCAAAATATTATGATTATGTAATAGTAATCGCCTATCAAATGTTAATGATGACGAGACATTAATGTATGAAAAATGGACTTTAACTACCATTAGTGATAACTTAACGACTATAGTTTTTATTTGTGCCTTACTCTTACTAGTTTTTATTACAACTTTACGTTATTTTTAATATTTAATAAATGTAAACTTCTCATAACCTCAAAATATTATTATCTTATACCTATTTCCTTGCCAATTTTAGAAACAGTATGGGGCATAAAACATTACCATTTTAATTATCACGTGTTTTTTCTCTAAATAATCGAGGTTATTGATTTCAATGTTATGATAACAGATTTATTTACATGATGTTATTGACAAATGTTTGGGCGGGAAACACCAAACGAAACCTACGCGAAATATCTAATAACTTAAATTGTTCTACAATTGAAATTTAATGAAGTTGTCGTTGACTGTGTAACATAAAAACTGAACTCTGTTACTTAATCATTTAATTGTATTTTTGTTTCATTCCAGGTGCTGATAAAGACTGTTAATCTTGTACTGACACTGTAAAGCTAATCATATCATCAAAACAATGAAATCCGCATCAGCTGATAAATCTTCATCCAAAAAAAATGGTTACGAATCTGAAGATGAGACTGTAAGATACAAATTGAACACTAACTTCTTAAACAATGCTGCCAAATCACCTAAACTAAAGAAAACTGAGAAAATTAAGGATGAGGATGACAATATTCGATATAAATTCCCTACTGTCTTAAACAAACCAAAGCCTGTTGAACAGAAACCCAAGCCTAAGCAAAAGATCAAGGTGAACTTCTGGAGCAACAAACAATCATTAAACCGTCTCAACAACTCCGAACCAGCAAAGCAGAAGTCAAATCGGAGACATACAGTAGGAGCTACTGCTGAGGACACATCCATTGCAAAACCAAAGCATGCAGCAGTAAAAGTAAGAAAACGAGTATCATTCCTACCTTCCCCAATATTTTCTGAAAACCATGTTCCAATGGTAACAGTGCCTGATGATTTAACTATACAGTTAAATGAGGAAGAAGCTAATGATTTAGCTGAAGACTTGAATCTGGCTTTTGTCAATAGTGGAAGTAGTGACATCAAGGGGAACCCATCCCCAAAGAGGAAGGCTAAGAATAACATTACCAACCCCCGTGAGGCTAAACGTAAACGGAGTTTAGAAGATGAACCAAGGATTCAGGGGAATGACAATGAACTGGAGTTTTTCTCTAAATATGTTGTCCAGAAGCTGCGGAGAATGGAAACAAATCAACGTATTTATTCAGAAAATTTAATCAATACTGTTCTTATGTTAGGTCAGCTTGGTAAACTGAACGGTAAATCAAAGATAACTGAATCATAATATCTAAAGCATTTTTCATTAGTTAAATGGACTTTAAAGAGTAGCATAATATTGTTTGATAGTAATTTATCTAAATATCTTTAAATCAAGGACCAGAATATTCTCAAAGACATCAATCATGCATAAGTATGTTAAATTTAGCATAGTCAATTTAAGTTATGGTGCTTTAAGTTATGCACAATGCAATAACACCCCATAAATATAGTATATGAAATACTGATTTAGATTTCAGATCTAAAGTACAATAATTTGTTAGAAGTTCAAAAACTTTTCTACACATGTAAAGTTTGCATTTTATGTTTCAACCAAACTCTTCAATTCATTACTGTCAAACTGAATAAAGCTGTAAAAACTGTAAATGTTAACATGTTGTGGCACAATTTATCTTGTATTAACTAATGACAACTAGAATTTGCTTTTTGATTTAGATAATTATGCATAAATATATATATTTTATTGTTACCACTTTGTTAACCACTTCCCTCCATATTTTTATCTATATAAAAATTGTATTGCATATCCCTTTACTAATATATATATCAATACTAATTTATATAGCTACTATGAAATGAAAGTTGACTTGTAACAGTTTCATTGTTTACTTGACTTGTGTTCCAAAGCATCTACCATCAATCTTTACCTTAACTATTAAAGTTTTACTTAGAAATACAATATTCTAATTTACCTCAAAGATTATGATGCCTCAAAGTACATAAAATTATGTTATATCCTTAGTAGTTTTGTTATGCACTCTGCAATTAAATAGTGTGAAGATAAATAAGTTGGTGGTACTCCTAAATGAATTTATCATGAACTGTTTACTAAATGGCTATGTTAATGTGAGGTGGTTTACGAAAATCGTGTTAAGCATAATTTATTAAGATTAAGGTTTATACACTTTTCCTCAAGTAAATGTTTTATTAGTTAAAATATATATCACTATGCCAATTGTGTCTGTGATGACTATAAACGAATGGGTTTGTATTGCACAACTTACTATTTAGTACATAAAGTCGTTAATAGAGTGTTGGCAAATTTTTAGTGTTATTTTGGGCAGATTAAATATTTACA